AATCGATGAACGGAAATTAGTAAGCGCCAGTGTGATGTGTCTGAAACTACCAATACGAAAGAATTTCTGACTGAAACAGTATCACATCTACCTACTTTATTTCAAGTCGCAAACAGATTTGCTTATATACAAGATTGTCTATGTACACAATATCAAAATCTTATGGAAGCTTACATCAAACAGTTTAGTATAAATATAAAACCGTTACCATGCAAATTCAAAAACCTATTTATCTTTTGATGAATATTTGACTCCAAGATACTTTTACTTGTCATTAGGACAGTCTTAACTCCAAGTAAACTCGGAATAACGCTTTGAAAAACTGTATTTATAACGTCCAAAAATATTTCAGAATCTTCTGATTAGAAGCAGTTTAATAGAATTTCGGAACCACACAGTATTAAGTTTCCTATAAGGATAAAATGTAAAGTGAATACCGCATACGATTAATATCATGGCACCACGGTTGCGAAATAAAGATGATTTTAAAGATAATAATAATCCTAGAAAATATCCAATTACTACGGCAGTACACATGAAATATTTTTAAAAAGTAAGATACATCAAAATAATCGGTTGTTTGAAATTTTCCAAGTGCGCTGCCACCTATGGTTTACCAACGCCATCAACTTGTCTGTCACAAGTAAGATTTCTGAAAGAGACAGTGTTCAAGTTCGGAAAAACAACATTTTTCTGCTGCTTCTTGAATAAGAATGGACAATATTCAACTCGCCAACTCATGTTGGTGTCACTGCTTAAGTGCTTAAGACCATGTAACATCCCATATCACTATGTGTGCAAAGGTTGATTTTTTCTTCCACTTAAGTAAACTTCGGAGCTTCCAGTTTATCCTGTGATGACCGTGCTTTCAACACAAAGAACTATAAAAGTAATAAACAGTTAGGTTACATGTTTATATAACTTTCTTAAGTGAGTCCACTCTTTTTTTGCAGATGATACAGAGTCGATCTACCGTTTTTTCAATTATGCATATGGAGTTCAACTGTGTGCTGAAAGAAAGATAAGACAATCTCTGTTTTTATCAGCTCTTTATCAAACAGTGTGGTTGATAGCCCTACTTCTGTTTTCCTCAGTTTGTAGATAGTTCCTCTACTATGAGTAATTAACGCTTGCCCGACACAAGGTCGCGTTTATTTATGGAGAATCACTCTACTACATTTTTTTAAAATGCGATATACTAAAACGGAATGGCAAAGTTAAAAATCATGTAGTTGAATCCCACTAATTTACGCTTCTGTCATTGGCCATGTTTCAGAAATAGTAAAGAACTATGAGTTTTCTGTTACTAACATGTGTTTTTGAAGCTGCGCCATTTGACTATATAGACTGACAGTGTTTGCACAGAATATCTTCAGTCCTGTACAACAAATGACAAAATATATTGAGAGGACTTGAGATCGTTTGGTTTCGATATTTCAAAATTCCGAAACCTTTTAAAACTGAGATCC